GAAATCTTATTCATTGAAAATCCCCCAAGAAAACTGCTGTTCTGCGATAAGTGAATCGCCCTGTATGTGAAAAAAAAACAACGACAACGTTGGAATAATAACAATATATTTATATCAGTGTTTTGAATCCGGTGTAGCACGGAGATTACCGGCTAAAAATAATATATTATTATTACATTGTGGGAAAGTGTCAATAAGCCTGTTTATATACACGGGAGCTGTGTCCGGGATGCGTCGGACGATCTGACGAGTGATACGCACGTCTAAAAGGGTAAACAAAACCGCCCGCGATGGAATTAAAAAAAAAAAAAAAATCGTATTTATAACGGACAGCCCAATGACACTAATTATACCGCGTCAGGCCTCTCGACTCTTACCAGACGATATTCCGGCGACGTCTTGTCAATCGCGTTCACAGATATAATCGAGTATAGCGCTGATGATAACGCCGACGAATCAACTGACCACAGGTGATCGAAATGAGAGAACATTCGAAATCATCCCGACTCTGCGAGAAATTTTCCGTTAGGTCTTGGTTGTACCGAATGTGGCCGAGACTATAACATTGTATTGTTGAAATTACTGCGGGTTTTCTGTGATGTCTTTATACATTTTATTGTTAAATTCAAATTTTTAATAATATTACGAACTTAAATTGAATATCGAAACGCTAACATACGCGAACGCGGATTTTTCAAGTAGACGGTTTTATAGATTTGAAATTTAAATCCCACGCGATTACGTGAAAGAGTGTAGGCGTTAAACATGGAGCTCTAATTAAAACCCAATCGCAAAATAATATAATGGACAATATTCTAGTGACGCGACGTGTGCTTTTTTCGCTTAGTTTTTATTTATTTTTGCAAAGCATTCGAATTTTACCGTTGATATGATTTTCCGGACAATTACGGGTTTCGATCGAGTATGATAATATTAAGGCCCGTAAACCGAGTACGGCGTGGTGTCCATAAGAACTCGGGTGCCAAAATTTACCGTCGGCACGCAACGTACACGTTACGTCATAGTTTTGTTTCTAAAATTCGTCTACACTTGTTGGTCGGTATTATGGGTTAAAAAAAAAAAAAATCTCCCACATAGGTACCCTCAGAAAACGAATATAGCCATCTCCCCCATCCACCCACATTGGATGCGATCTATTTTCGCGTCGGAGATAATTTCGGTGAAGAAAAAAAAAAAGGCGCGAAAAAACGTCACACGTGTTCGTTTAAAAGACTAATAAAGAAAACAAAACGGCTGTGAATTCTCTCGAACACGGCTATCACGTCGATCGCGTCAAGGCGTCGTTTTTTTTTTTTCGACGTCCCCGTTATTATCATTACGTATACCCGGGCAGTATTATTTTGCGAGATCCGAACTGTGAATATATTTGTGTAAACCACTCGGCTGACGCTGTCAATTGGCGGTATTCCGGATACTTCGTGTGTCGTATCGTGCGCTTTTGGTCGTATTCCGATTGGTCGTTATAATTTCGGTGACATTCAGCGACCATATCTCGACGAGAAACTCCTAGAATTAGAAATTTCTCTTGGTCGGGTGAAAACGATCAGTTGATTTGTTGTGAATGTATACGTGACGTGTCCACGGCGGACAATACGCGATACGTTACTGGAATATCGCCTTTAACGGCGATCGGCATATCCTGGAAATTATTGACTTTTACCGAAATCCTCTTTATGGGAAACGTGTATAATATGCACGTGTTGCGATCCTAAAATTTCCCATTACCTACCCAAGATAGGAGGTTCACCGACGAAGTTCAGACAACGTAGACGAACTTGTTTTATTGTATGTGTCCCTGAATTTAATATTTTGATTCGACGGATCATGTCGATTGTCGAGCAGCAGCTGTGTAATGACCAAACCAACAGGTAGACAATATAATATTCGTCTGGCATATGCGATAAGAAAAAAAAAATATTTCTTGATTTCACGTAGAATTACGGAGAAACAAACAAAAAAAACGTTCCATGTCGACGGACGATAGCTACGCCCCTCTAAATTTCCGAACGGTTTTCTGCCCGGGGTATCCCCCAATCCTCTCCTCGAAATACGACTCCGCCGTTTTGGCGGCGAAACAGCTACGGACCTTTGATCTCCAAACGCAAACCCAAACGAACGATTCCGAAAATATCGATTGTGTTTGATTCGGGGTTTTAATTGTTTTATAGTTTTGTCAATTACTATGTACTTCATCGATTTATGGAATGTTTAATATAACTTACAAGCACTTAATATCATTATGTACTACCATTCGAAAATTAAAAGCCGGTCTAATGGTCGTTTCACCACTCGAGAATGAAAAAAGACAAGTGAATAATGTGAACGGAAAAATCGGAATATAAATAATAATAATACTTGAAGAATTCACGCCGGGGGTTTCTCGTGTGTATATACGTATATTAAACGAGGCCATATTTTCGTCCGACTGCGCGTTTGCATAATATTATGGTTATTTATTATGTTATTGTTCGAAAGGAGGAGAAAGAAAAAATACAACATCGAAAGTGAAATATTTACACTAAACAAACTCCGAGTTATTAAAGTGTTTTTTTTTTTTTTTTTTTTTTTTTTTTTTTATCCACTCGTCCACTCGTTCCACTTAAGGTTTTGTAATTTTGCAACGGCAATTATTTAATTTTTCCGAGGCTTATTTCTTTTTAAGATGCGCTGTTTTCTGCGAATGAATAATAATTGCAGTATCTATTGTTCGGACGATACATTGTCATTATTACGCAATGATCTTAGCAATAATGTTGCACCAAATTCGTTCTCAGAATGCGCCGAAATGTTTATTTCGACGCGTAACGACTATCGATCGTTTTCGAATTATACTTAGCTAATTAGCTTTTTCTACAATCGATTTTGGATTCTGACCGACACGAACAACGTATTGGTTTAAGTACGACGTGTGTGTATGTGTGTTTTTGTGCCTGTAAACCGCTTTTCGACCAGAAATCTCGCGCCGATCTTATAACGTGTAGCGTTGCATTTTTTCTGAAAAAAATATCACGTCTCTTCGACGTACGGGAGGTCGTTGTTTTTTTTTTTTTTTTATTTCTCTTGTAATTTTCTTAATAATTGGAACAATTTCGTTCCGTTTGTGTTGTACAGGACACGAGCGATACATATTCGGTACGAAAATCGTCGCACACGATTAACTCAGAAAACAGCGTACGGAGTAGTATTTCGTTTGAACAGAGCCGACAAAAAACAGTACATAGCGATATATTTTCAAACGGACCTAACCTAATACAACGTTCAAAACGTACCGACCTCGCCTAACAGCTATTGGTGTGCGTCGGGTTTTAAAACGGACCATAAACTCGGAAGCCGACAAAAAAAAAATAATTGTTTTAGTCGTATTCGACTGTTTACAAACAGATTCTGATAAGGATTACATTCGTTCTCCAAAAAAAAAAAAAAAAAACAAAAAGAAATACGATTAAACCCGAACCCGTTGGTAGTATAATACCGTCCGGTAAGTCTGGGCAGCGTTTGCGTCTCCATAAAAGCAAAAATCAACAATGTTCGGACACGGGTTGAAGTGTTGTTCGAAAATTTAACGGAAACGAATCGATACACAACAGCAAGAGTTTATTAGTGCGTTGCACAATATGTTAGTGAAAACATTTTATCGCATTTTTCGGAGCATAAAAGCCGCGAGTAAATATTCGGGTTTTTTTTTTTTTTTTTTTTTTTTTTACACATAATTATCACATGAGTAGTAAGTACTCATGGTTTTAATTTCGTATTATGCGTCACGGACGGCGCTTATTGGTACTTTAACAATAATAATATAGTACTGAGGTGCATCCGGTTTAAAGGCGGTCCTGATGAATTCGAATGGCATTCGAGGTGTCGCCGGAAGTTAATGACTCGCGGTAAATTTCCAACGCAGTATAGTAACGATAGTGGCCGGTAATATAGGTGACACAAATCGATAATAACATTATATTATCATATTGTGTGTACACGATAAAAAAACAACTAAATTTAAAATCATCTACGACATTGTGCATAAAAAAAAAAATATATATATATATAAAAATAAAACGAAGACAATTTAAATTTAAAAAAAAGTTGAGTACAGCCACTGTTGTTGGTGAGAAGTTGGGAAGGTAGGATATAGAGGGGAAATCAATTTTTATCCGTAAGCAACGATTAACCATTGCTAACTAAAAACGATTCTGAGCAGAGTTCGGTTTATAGTGATGTTCGTTTAATATTGTATTTTTCGCTCCACGAAGAATCTAAAAAATATATAAATTATTTGAATTGATGACAGGACAATAAATATTTTTTGAAAATATTATTATTTAGTAGAAATAATTAGTGAGAGGAGGCTAATAACAAAAAAGAAAAAAAAAGAAAAACAAATAGCAGAGCTTCCTTACGTCCCTCTCTCTAATTCATGCATTGATATAAGTGCTCTACTAAATATTTCTTGTTGAAGGAGCCAACAAAGGAAAACACAAAATCCTAGATATGTCCAGTTTATTATTTATATCTGTGGTCGTACATTAACGATCTCTATGGCGACGACACCGTTATATTTCATTAACAGTATCCGCGTTACTTTGTTATTTCGATAATTTTAATTATTATTTTGTTTTAAAGGAACGTGATGTACGCTACTCTGATACGTCCGGCCCTTGTCTAGTGTGTTTTCGATCTGTATAACATTGTATAACACCTTTTCATGTTTCCCCGAGTTCTACTAATTTTTGTCGTTGATTGGACAAATTATTAATGAAATTCAATATAGTTTGCGTGTATCTTCGACCGACTCACAAAACTTCATCTGTGACGGACAAGACTCCGGGTAATATTTTTAATTATATAATGTAGGTACCTATTTAAACTTCATCGTATTATTAATATGCTTTATAAATAAATGAAATTAAAACGTCCGTCTGTTTTTTATAAGTGTATTGAAAAAAAAAAAAAAAACAACAACAACAACAACAATAACGAAAACTGTCAAATTAGTAGTATTAATTAAATTAATCTCGATTGATTATCTAAGGTTAATATTATGTAGGCGCACATCATAATAATATATCGGTTTTTATTTTTTTCCCTAAACATGATTCTGCTCACTTTACTAAAGCCAGAAGAACATGCATTTTTTTTAGGGAAAAATTTAGATACATTTGTAACTTATTATTATAATAGACAAAATTGATTGGCGGATGAACATTCAATTATGCTGTGGTGTTTTGCTCCAACTTGCTTTTGAATTTTGCTCCGAAAACTGAAAAAAAAAAAATTGAAAACAGTAGGTGATTAAATGTCGGGAAAAACACATTTTTAATAGTGGAAATTTCATATATTTTTTAAAGTTATGTTTTTTTAAGTTACGAAAACATCGGATCGTATACAGTTGCCCAAACAGGGTTCTAAGAAAACATAATAATATAATATATAGATATCTGCCCCTTTTACATAGTTTTTTTTTTTTATGGGATTTTTTTTTAATGTGTTTTTGTTAAACATCAGTTCAAATCGTATTCAGTTATTAGTTGAAAACGTTGTCAACGTAATGATATGTCTAAAATTTTCAAGAATACATTTTTTTTCAATGTTTGGGAAAAAATCCTCTCTATCATCTGGTGCAATAACCAGATACCGCCGAGGACGTGTTCTGCGGTTGCGCCTAAAAACACCGTTGTTTAAGCATGGTAATTATTATCGCGTTTGTTTTATTAAACAATTGATAATTTTCCGGCAAACTCTACGGTTCGGCCGAAACGGTTTCCATCGGGAAATCCGTGAACACGTTCCGGATGGGATTCCCGTTCCGTCGCTCGAATCAACGGCCGTCGGGCCGTTGCGTGTTTCAAACGTAGCGCGTCCGACGGGCCGCGCCGTTCGATTCGTACCCCGTTACGTATTCCAAATGCGAAAATGCAACACGAGAGGATTTTCGCGTGGAAGACGCGCGAACGTTGTGAAATATTTTCGGTTCGTGTTGACGGCGATTCGGACCGGAGTACGAACGCGCGAATATCGGTTGGGACGTTATTGTTATGCCGTTTTCGTTTCGGCGGGGCCCGTCGGAAAAAGAAAATAAAAAAAAAAACAATAAAAAAAAAAAAGCTTAAACAGCGAAACAACGGAAAAAAAAAAAAACCGCGGCAACAATAACAACAATAACGATTTTCGGTAAAATCAATTTGGACTATTCTATCGGGCGGCGCGCGACGTTCGATAATATTATATTATTATACGCTGTGGTGTACATTATCGTTTTCGCGTTATTATTATTATTACGCATTCCGCATCTTTTCGTCGATTCTTATCTGATTTTTTTTTTTATTATTATTATTATTTTTTTTTTAAATTCAAATTTCATTGAAAGTTATTTCGCGCGTTACGGAGAACACAATTATTATTATTGTTTTAAATAATATCTATTTTTTTTTTTTATTTTTTTTTTTCATTCGTTTCGCGGCGTTTTCTAGGTCATAAACATCCGGGGACTCGAATCGTAACCGCGTAACGATATTATACCGCACAATGCAACACGGTCGTATTATATTGTGCGCCGCCGCCGCCGCCGCCGCCGTTTTTCCTAAGACAATTTGCAGTTTTCGATTCGCGACCGGACGGTATACCGAAATTATGTTTCCTGTGCCGCGCCGCCGCCCGTGTCGTTCGCTATTGTAACGATCGTTTTGTATCCGTTTAACTCCGACAATTCGTTCGCGCTCGGTGTACGAGTTACGCGAGTACGCGTCAACATCGCCGTCGCCGTGTTATTGTTGTTATTACTGTTGTTGTTGTTGTTGTTGTTGTTGTAGTCGTCGTCGTCGTCATGTCGCCGGCAGGTACCGCGTATGTTGCGGGCGCGTTACATACCCACCCGGCCACGGCCGTCGTTTCTAACGGAACGCGTCTCGAAACCACACCACCACCACCCCCCCCCCCCGAAAAGAAAAACAACAAAACGCGATTACTACGTCCGTTCGAAGAAACTTAACTCCCGCTCCCCCCTGTACGGTGTCTGCCGACGCTGCCGTTTTTTATGCCCCGACTCGAACCGTGATTTTGGCGTTGGCGCGCGCGCGACACTACGTCCGTTCCGGAAGCGCCGTGGAACATACCGACGGGCGTGCCGTAATCGGTGCGACGAGCCGACGGGTTCGTTATCGTTGCTCTGTCGTTCGTTCTCGTGGAAAAAAAAAAAAATACCGACCGCCGCACGGACGGGGCGGCGTGCTCGTGAGATCGCCGGACGAAAGGGACGAACGCGCGACGGCGGTGACGCGGCCACGCGGGACGGACGATGACGGCGCGGGTGACCGGGGGTCGAGTAGGAGTTTGCGACGGAGACCGGGCGGTGATCGATCGCAAACGGCGCCGGGACGATGGCGGGGGGGGGACGGAAGAACAACGGCAAAAGACGTCTGCGGTGCTGTCCGGTCGCTGTCGCCGCAAAAATTGTTCGCGCCCATCGCCGTAAATGAGCCTACGCGAGTTATTTCGCGTGACGCGCCGTTCGGTCACCGGACAAATTGGACTTTTAGCGCAACGGCCAGACGTCTCCCGCCGCGCGGTTACCGGTCGCTCCGGGCCGTTTTCGCGGTCCGCGGTGTTCGGCTCGCTGCGGCCCCACGGCCGGTCGCGCGAACGCCGCGCGGGGCGAATTATCGTTTTCGGCGTCGGGCGTTTGTAATCGGCGCTGACGAATCGCCGGGGGCCTGAACGACGCACGGACCCCGGCGGAAACGCATTCGACGCGCGTGTTCGTTTACCGAAAATCACGGATAATTCGGCTCTTGTTATTTTCGACGGCAACACGCGGGCTTTTCAACGCGGCAATCGCCTTGTTGTTTACGATGAAGTTTTCCGTCGGGGTCGTCGTTGAAAAAGCTATACGCGAAATCGTCAAATGCCGACGCACTGCAACGTTCGGAACCCCTTTGATTTTGACGCCGACGTTGCTGCGAACAACAACACAACACTTGCGATTTGTCGCAGTTGAATTAAACCTCATTGAGTTTGCCGCTTTCCCGAACCAAGGATAACGAATGTAAAACGCGAACACGCCTTCGTTTTACCAGAGCTGTGCAATATGTTTGGCCAACAGCTAAAACGTTTCAACATTTTTTTCCGGCTCAAATGATTCCCCTCGCCGGATATCATCGAATTCGACCGACATTTTATGCATTAAACGACAGAAAACAATTTCTAACATCGGGGAACGCATTGTTTTGGTTGTTTTTTTTTTTCTCAAAAAACAATTGTATCGTTGACGATCCGATGATAACTTGGAGATTACGAGTCGGCCCGGTATCGAAACGGGCACTGGCGGTAGTAGCCGCACGTTACGGATAATTGTCGACGCTTTTTTTTCTTTTCGGCGGACCGAACAAACCGCCCCCGCCCCTCCGTTATATCATTGTAACACACAAACTGTTATAAACTACAGTGCCGGCACCCGAATCCCGGGACCGTCCAACAAACGTTACAATCCGGATCCGGATCGATAAACGTAATCCTCCGGATCACGGATATCTGAAATAGATCGTTTATTTTCAAACGCCGAAATCCGAAACACGCGTGTCGACAACGGCTCGCTGCCGCGCGGCCGCGCTGGCCGGTTCCGCGTTCAATTCGTCGATCGGCCCCCGGGGATCCGGACCGTACGGATCGAATTCGAATCCGGGCCGCGCAGCGATCCGGGTCCCGGATACGGTCGACAGTGCCGTTCGGCACCGTAATAATATACGAACGCGAACCGTTCGAATGGCCGGCCGCGGCGCGAAACGACGTTCACGACGCCGCGACGAACGTCGCACGGCCGGAACGCTGTTACACTACCGGGCGCCACTTGAACAGCGGTACGCTCGCCGCGGCGATTGTCGTACGAATAATATTTTTTTCCTTTTTTTAATTTTTTTTTTTTTTTTTTTTTTTTTTGTTTTTTTCCGTCTACGTAACATCACGACAATATGCGTACGTATATACGACAGTTACAATCGATATAGGTACTTGTGATGTTATGTTGACGGTGCGTAGACGCGATAATAACGATTATGTTGTTGTATTTATTTTATCGTCCGATCGCGTCCGCAGTGTTTCGATTTTTTTATTATTATTATTTTTTTTCTATTATTATAATTCCCCTTAAACGGTTACGATTGCCGGAGTTTCGTCGGAACCGTTACCATTTATAGTTTTCGGGGGTTCTTTTGTATCGTTCGCGTCCCCGTTTCGACCGTGATCACGTCCACCGCTCCCGTCAATTCTCTATCACGGCCCGGACAATCGGGGCGTCAATCGTCGGGGTACGATCGTAATTTTTCAGGTTGCCCGAAACATCCAATTAGTAGACTCCGGCAATCGTACACGGATCGGAACGGAAACAGTTATGCGTTACGCTATATGTTTTATACGTGCGCACAGTCCTAAACCCGAACGCGCGGAGATATTTGAATCCTAAAATGTCAATTCGACTGTAAAACTATTACGAAACTCGACCGTTCGGGAATCGGCAATTAAGACCCCGGAAAGGCGGCGCACGCTCGGCGCGTACGAAACCGCACGGTTCCCTCGGCTCGGTAGAATTCGGTGCGGGCATTGCGTTCCGCGGCGGCGCGTGCAAAGCCGAAAACCGCGGCGTCTCGAAAACCGATTTCTAATTCGAAACCCGACCGAAACGCGTTAGCGCTGTAACCTGCCGAGACCACTCGAATTCCTCCCCCGCGTTTGAGCTCGCTCGGGCCCGGCGGAACCGCTAAAAGCGTCGCCAAAGTACTACGCGGGTCTGTTCCGGTATCCCGGTTCCCCGGGGGGAATTCGAAGAAAAAACGACATCCACCGCCGGATTGCTACGGTTGAATTGAACGCGAGACCGCGTGTTTTTTTTTTTTTTAAATGCCCGCGCGCGCGTTCCCGGTCCGAACGAAAGGCGCGGTGCCGCAAACCGACCCGCCGTTCGTACCGCGCCCGATGTATTGAAAACCGAACGTAACGCGTCCGCGCGGAGACGTCGGCCGAGGCCTGGACCTTTAAAAACGTCACCGCGTGTATCGTTTACGCTCAAGAGCGGCGGGCGAAAACGCGCGGGGAAAACGTCCGGTTCTCTCGTTTTCTCGTACGAGACCGTTACCGTTCTTTCATTCGCGAAAACGTTTTCGACCGCGCGCGTCGTCCCCGTCTTACGGACGTGCGGTTTACCCGTTCGGCGGGCACGGCGTTGCGCCGTCACTGTTCCCGTCGTATCGCCGTCGCTGTTCGTACGGCCTTTTGATTTTTCAGCGGCGCGCGACGTCACGGCGACGGCGGGCAGCGGACACGGCGCGTCATCAAAGCGTCGATTCCCGGGCGCCGTTCGCGGAAACGTGTTCGTGCCGTCCGCTCGCGGCCGACGGCACGTTGATTGTTCCAAACGTCCGGGGGTCCGGAGACACCGAGGTGCCGGTGTTCCCGGCGTCTTCGGCGCAAACGGCCGGCAAACCGCAACGGGCCCCAATATTTGTGCGCGTCCGCGGCTTTTCGGCGTGTTATTCTGACGGTCGCGGACGGGTTTGAGACCCGCGCGAAAACGTTGATTGCGGTTTTCCGCCGCACTCGGAACAGACGATTGAATTCGAAATCGTGACAGACCGGACCGTCAACGGGCGGACGCGAGTCGTCGACGAACCCTCGGAGGGGGATCTTGACAGGTCCGGTCCGTTTTGCGTGTTGATCGGGGGGCGGCGTTGCGGCGGCCGAACGCAGACAAATAGATCGCGAAGAACCGACTCGACGCGACCGCGCCGGGAAATTTCGGTGCCCCGGCACTTCCCGCGCAGGCCGTCGGTTCGCGCGCGTTTTCCCGGTTCACGAACCGCTCGGGCCGGTAGGGGCGGGCAGTCGGTCGGGTCGCCCGCTCGGCGGATGCGCGCGACGATTCGCGTTCGCAAGCGGGCGCCCCGTCCAGTTGATTTCCCGGCACGGAAATGGGACGGCCCGCACAACGCCTTCCGTGGAGCCCTTCGGGGAGCCCTTCGCGCGCTCGGCAAACAAGACCCGTTAGCGTTTACGATACCGTACCGTTACTGTTATTGTTTTTTTTTTTTTACGTAATAATACGCGCCGATTATACTACACGCAGCGTAGCGTATATTAATACTACTACTACCGCCGCCGCCGCAGCTAATAATAATAATAATAATAATAATAATAACGATAATAATAATAATATCGAGTTATCGTTTTGTAAATATTGCAATGTTACGATTGTGTCTCGTCGATGCGAAAACGGACATTAGGCGCGTTATTGTCAACGCGGAATAATAATAATAATAATAATAATAATAATAACGCGTTTAACGTCCCGGCGGTCGTCCGTCAGATGGCACTGACCAATGAACGGGCGGCGGCGACCGCGGCGACGGCGGCCGCGGCGGCGGCGGCGCGCGACCTCTCGCAGTGTGCTATTCGTAATCGGGGCGTAAGAGTGCACCGGTGCTCGGCCGACTTACCCCACGTGCGCGCGCGCGTATATATGCGACGTGCCCCGCCGCGACTCGTATCATTTTGTCGTCGTTACGCGCGCCCGAGTGAAGTGTGTGCGTTCCGTGTGCGCGTGTCGTGCCGGTCAGATACGCCGCCGATCGAAATAAATAACCGCAATAAATATTGTTGCGACCGCGTCCGGTTTTCCGCCTTTTTTTTTTTTCCGTCTATTTTCCGTTTTTTTTTTTTTTTTTTTTATTCTATATCCGTTCGGTTTTCGGTTTTTTTTTTTTTTATTCGCCCCACCCCCGCACCCCCATCCACCTTCGTTTCCCCGGGCGCGACTTTTGCGTGTTTGTCAAAAAAAAAAAAAAATTTAAAAAAAACGTGGGAAAAAAAAAACGAGAAAAATAATAACAACGCCGCCTTTACCGTTGTTGCCGGCGCGTTTGATTTTCGTATCGTTTTTCCCGTTCGCCCGTTCGTTTTTCGCAAACCGCCCGAAAATACATTCACCCCGTTCGGGACGTGCGACCACGATGGACACTACCTAATCGCACGACCCCGCGGACATCGTCGACAACACACGCACGGAAATCGTCCGACCGCCGTACGTTTTTTTTTTTTTCTTCCGTTTCCGGAGACCGTCGCCGCGGTTAATCACACCACACGGCCAGCGGACGGAAACGCGGCGGAATCCCCCGTATCCAATACGCGCGGCCCCGAGTCGAAGACATTGCGAAAACAGACATTGACATATACGTACTGTGTGTGCGCCGTTACGACATCACGCTCGATGCTGCGATGACCGCGGACCCGTACCAAGTCGGCCGGTGGTGACGCGCGCGACATGACGAATGGTGATTACGGTGCATCAGGTGCAGCAGCAGCAGCAGCAGCAGCAGCAGCAGCAGCAACAGCAGCAACAGCAGCGTCGGCGGCATCAACAGCGGCGGCGGCGGTTTGCGCGTGTCGGACGGCCAAGCCGTCGCGGCCGTCTGCACCGTCGGCTGCGGCCGCCGGCGCGGCGGCGGCGGCGGCCGCAGTGCTCGCCGTGTGGACGGCGGCGTTCGTGTTGGCCGCGGTCGTGGGCGTAGCCGCCGGGGCGCAGTCCAACCCGAACCCCAACCTGACGGCCGCGGCCGGCCGGATGGCCCCCTGCGCCCACCTGGGCGACGAGACCAACGACGTGTCGGCCCGGGCCTACGCGTCCGACGTGGTGTTCGAGGGCAAGGTCCGGTCCAAAGGGCCCGTCCGCCCGGGCTACGGCACGTACGGCGTCACGTTCGTCGTGCAGCGCGTGCACAAGGACGCCATGCAGGCGGTCACGTACGAGGGGCTGCGGACCGGCAGTCCGGTGCGGCTGTACTTTCGCGAGAAACGCGCCGAGAACAACGCGGGCGGCGGCGGTGGCGGCGGCGGCCCGCGAAACGCGCCGTCGTCGCCGCTGCAGAGCGGCCGGAGGCCCTCGCGCAGGCCGGACACGCAATGCGTGCAGCGGTTCGCGCCGTCCGCCGGCGGCCAGGCGGTCGAGGCCAACATCAAGCGGGGCGCGAAGTACCTGGTGTTCGTGGCCGGCGTCGGGCCGCACAACTTGTCCGTGCTCGGCGAACCCGTGCTCCGGACGCAAAAGAACGTGGAGGCCGTCCGCAAAGTGCTGTGCAGGAATTGCAGTGAGTACAACGCAACTCGTATATAACTCGTGTCGCGTGGCCGACAAATAATTATGTTACCGTGTGTATAGCAAAAGCCGTAGCGCAACACGATGGGGGGGCACGTCGTCGTCGTATTATCATTGTCGCGACAACGACGACGTGACATTATATTGCGGGCAGGTACGCTGGCGCGCGCGTAGCCGCGGCGGCGGCGATATTATTTGTAATAAAATAACGCCGCGGTGTAGAGGCGGGTGTGATCCGCGCTCCGTATCACCGGCGTGGCCCGCGCGGAACGCGTATTCCCGCGTGGAACCCGGCCAAAATCGTCTATTTTCGGACGACTTTACGGCGGCGGCGGTGGCCCACAGGCCGCCGCGTCGCCGTCTCTCTGTCTCGCTCACTCGCTCTCTCTCGCTCCTTCTCACTCTCTCTCGCGCGCGCGCGCGCGCTCGCGCGGCACGTCCGTCTCTCGTAACGGCCCCGTTCTCTGTCGCTCCGCCGATCTCACCGTCCGGACTCCGTATCACATAATTGTAATAATATTCCGTAACACGTTATTATTATTATTATTATTATTATCGATGATGATATTATTGTGATATGTTACTACGGGCGTGCGCGTGCTCGCTATACGACGTACCGATAAATCGCCGATATCGCGTACAAACGTAAGGGGGGAGGGGTGAAATATAAAAAAATATCCCGACGGTATGAAAATATCATAACGCGCGTTTTATTATCCGCGCGCACGCCGACTAGCGACTAGGGAAATAGGTGATTTTTCGAAAAACGCGCGTCGCGCCCGACGTCCCCGTACAAATCGCGATCGAAAAAAAAAAAAAGGCGAACCGTCACGGGCCGAACGGAAATCGTGTCCAGAACGCGTCTCGTCGGTATTTTCGGCGTGTTTCAACGCGAAACGACATTAATAACAGCCGCCCAACCACCGCCGGTAAATAACACCGGGGTCCGCGACTCTTTATAGTTCCGCCGTTTACGCACTCGGACGATAAATCGGCTAAACGTGTTGAAACGGTTTCCCCCCGAAACGGGCCTACGGATAAAACACGTCGCGAATAAAAATTGTCCGTTCGGTTTCGGCGGCGGACCGATCGATCGGAACGACCTGCACGGAATCGGCTGCTCGTTTTTTTTATTTCCTCCTCCCCTCGCCCTCCCCCTCCCACCGTAAACCGGCGTCAATCGGCGTTTCGGTAAAAACGCGTTGTACGAATTACGGTTATCGTCCGGTTCGCAATGCCCCCGGACCGTCGTCTCGGGAAAACCCGAAGTTTCGCCCCGGACCGTCCGCCCGAGCCCTCCGGTTTCGCACCGCGATCCCGCAGCGGCTCTGTTCCGTGCGCGCGGACGACGGGCCGGCGCCTTTTTCGCGCCGTCGCCTCGGACGTACACACGCGGGGCCCGCCACTCTGTGCGCCGAGGAAAGGAATCGCGTTAACGACTATTTTTGGACGTTTCCGCGGGCGATGGCGGCGACACGATATTATGTTACGCGGGGCCGATGACCAAAAAAAAAAAAAAAATAAAAAACAAACAAACAAATGAAAAACACCGAATGTACGCGCGCGCGTCTTATAAATCTCAACGCGAATCACCCAATCCCTCCGCCCCTGTAATTTAATCAATTAATAATCAAAAAATTTATACCCACGAACTATTACGATTCCGATCGTTCTTCGTCCGTCGGAAAGAGAAACACTGTTCCTGTACGCGTTAGACGTTGATATTCGAATGTGTACAACTAAAAACCGCGAAAAAGAAAATAGTTTGGAAGTTTGGTGTTTTTACGACCGGCGAAAATGTCGAATGCCGATAAATCGCTCGAAAAATCGCCAGAATAAATGTTGAAAATATCACCTCGGTTAGAAAAGGCTGACACAAGACGTACGTACCTGTGAACTGCAAATCGCAGCCGTGTACGATTATTTTTAACGGAACTACGATAAAATACTAAATCGACAATAATGATATCGCTATTGCCGTAAACCACACGGTTTTCCCATACGCTTAATCCCGATTTTCCCCAACCGTTAAGAAAACCTGCGAGGGAAATCCAAAAAAAGGAAAATAAACGATCCGTCAATGCTCAAACTGCGGTATAGTTACGATTTGTTTTCCGAAAATACGCTACGTTTAAAATTTGCGGCTATGAATGCGGTCTAAAAACGGTTTACAGACAGGTCGCGGAAGACCAATACGTTCCTCGGTGAGAATTTCAAACCCCACGGACATTGTTTCTTGTTCTAACTTGACGATTGCATAGCGTTTAGACAATTAATTTTCACAATCCGTGTCCATTATTACGCCTTGTGGGTTAAGAAATTTTCCACTTTTCGACGAAAAAAAAAAAAAACGATCGTCCGCCGCCGGAATCGCGAGAGTTTTTCATGTAAATCGTATGTTTCCGAACAAACATAACAAAAATAAATAAATAAAAAACAGGTCGCGCGGTTAGCTAAAACAATTGCAATATAAAACCGACGGAGATATCGTTTTTTTTTCCGCTTTACATTTGAATCTTATCGGTTTTTCGTTTTATCGATTTTATCGCGGCTTCCATCGTATCTGACTTCCGTATTGTTATTATTATTATTATTATATCGTGTGACGAATATTGGCCATCAACGCTTTTCAATTCGGTTTTTTTGTTGGTTTTTTTTTTCGTCTGTCGCCCGTCGGCGTTGTTCTTTTTGCATTGTATATATTATTGTATATTATAGAGACGTTTGAGAGGAGAAATAAAAAAAAAAAAACTATTTTTCGACCGGCCAGACGCGCGACGATGATGCAATACAGTGTGTTCACATTGTGGCGTATTTTAGGTGCAGCGACGTGAAAGTCGACCGTCGATTATTTTTTAAGAGGATGTCATCGGGCCGCATGCACCGTGTCTCCATCTTCGTATTGTACGAATAACGACGTACCGACTTCACGTCCGGCAGTACCGCGATTTCGAGATTTCAGTTGTAAAAAATATCTCGGACGGATCGAGACGAGTCGTCGAACTTTTGTGTACGTAAAAATATTGGCCGTGCCGCCGCGTCTACCGTTTCCGTTCGGTATTTCGATTTCAAAGCGAGATAATATGTGGCTAAATATGTCACACGCCACTACAGGAATCTCGTCGCTTAAATATGCAAATATCGCAGTAAAAAAAAAAAAAAAAAACGACAACGTCACAGCCGAAACCGAACCGCGCAAAATCCCGGTCCTGCTGAACGCGAATTTTCTACGTCCTTTGGGCGTGCGTTTGCAGTGCGACGCACTCGGTTATGTATAGCGCATGGGTTTGAAAGGCTTGGTTGACATTTTTATTGTTAAATATCATCGGTTCATCGGTCCGGTACGAGTTTCACGCAACTCAAGAAAAATTAAAATATCGGTTTTAAAGACAAAACAACTATTATTGTGAAATGTATAGTCGACGAAATCCCGAAGACAGGTTTACAATATTATTAGTATCTGAACGTTCAACTCGATATCGAAGGTACAAAAATCGTATTTTATGAATAATGTGAATTGTTATTTAAACAAACCGGAGCGTTTTCACTAACCGAACGAGTGTTTTCGGACGGAATAAAGCGCGCGCGTTAAGACCTAACACCCAACACTCTAAAAAGAGACAGGAAAAAACGGGCGGTTTTTTTTTTTATTATTATTTATTTATTTAAGGAATAAATTATAGGCAACAAATACGTTCGGAATACTCTGAATGTATTCCGATTAAAGTATTCCGAATGCTTTATTCGGAATACTGTCCGCGTCCGGACTCGTCCGTCCGTATTACGACGTATTTTACGACGTTTACTGTTTCGCGCGAAATTTCGGCGTGAAACGTCGCCGTCGTCGGACGAACAAAACGATATTTTACCGCCGAATCCGCGACAAGTTCACCGTTTTCCATAAACCCCGCGACGCGAAACCCGTAAACTACGACTGTAATAATATGTCGCGTTTATCACGTTCAGCCCGAGCGCCGTTATTAATAATAATTTTATTACTCGATTATTGCGCGTGCGGCGGCATACGTCTTGTCTTATCTGTGTTTGCACGAGATGACGTGTCCCGACTGACTGGTCCACCGTCGCCTAGCCCGAACCACCGGACGGATCGGGCTGAAATTCGGCACGCAAATAGCTATTGTGACGTGGGCGTCCGCCGAGCAAGGATTTATGAAAATTCGACCCCTGAGGGAGTTAAACAGGGGTTTTTTTTTTCAGGTATATTTGGTACGGACATCTAATCGCGTATGTGTTTATTTTTGTTTGTTCG